ATGACACATTACATACTGGGGAGCATGATTCAGATTTCCATTTACTTCTCCTATCAGAAACACTGGAGGCCCATATATAAAGTGGTGGGAAGAATCTGCAAGTTTCTATAAGGATAAAGCAGGTAATGGAAATGAATGAAGTAGCTGGGGAAGAAGTGCATATACAAATAGTGCATGAATGGCAAGAGTTTGTTCCTAATGGGAAGCTGCAATTTAACTTCAGTTGATTGTTGTCTTATTGGAAATCAGGACAGCTAATGTCATATGTCTATTTCCTAAGAGAGAAGAATAATCTACATTTGAATGTGAAATTTCATGACTTTTAGATATTGGCTCAAAAACTATTTAAATTAGTGTGTGATCAATACAATGCCTATGGGTTGAATAAAACTTCAGATCACTAATTTGTGATTTCTGCTCATGCATCATGCAGCATCAGAAGGAAAACAAAAAAACAAAAATCAACCTTTTTAAGGTTTTAAGAATAGACAATGTATTATTTACTATTTGCCATACAAAGTGAGATTAATTTGGAATATAATTACATCTGCAAAAGCCAGAGGTAACCACTTTTCAAGTTAAATATGTTTATAATCTATACAATATTTTTTAAATTAAGAAATTAGTAGGAGACTTATGGTGCTATTAATGTTATCAGTATTACTAGAGATTAAACATTGGTGGAATATATAAATTATCTGGTATTTCTCTTTCATAGATCTTACAGAGGAAACTCCTACTGAGGTTTACACTTAATTTCTATGATGCCTGAAGATGGATTTCCTCTGTATGAATGTGACTTCTTTAATGCTTTCTCCTCCAACATACCTTAGTTAAGTGTTGTCATGATGTCTTATTCTTTAGACTCACTAAATTAGGACCATGCCCAGATAATTTATTTACTTAGTCCATAGTAGTGCTAGCTTACTAGAGTACAGTTTTCTTTCTTTCCTTCCTTCCTTCTTTCTCTCTCTGGCTTTTTTATTTGTTTGTTTGTTACTTGGAAATTGCACATGGCTGATTGGCTTATCCAATGTATAGGTACTAAAAGGTACATATTATTTTTGATGCCAAGCCCACAGGTCCCTGAAAAGGCAAAATATTCAGCACAAATTATAGCATAGCTAACAAGAAAATTCAGCCCAACAAAACTTCTAAAAAATATTTTCTAAGTAATATGTTTTTGTCTCACACTGTATCTAAACCTTGAATAGGTTTGGTTTTTTTATGCAATGTAATAAATATTTCCCTAAAATACATGGCCAGCCTGTTGTCTATTTGTTGGAAGTTTCATTTTTACAGCTTGAGGAGTAGACTAGGAAATGATCTTCACAAAATATAAGCTACAAACATGGAACACACATACAATTGTTTTATAAAACCTAAACAGAAAGGGAAATAAATGGTTTAGAAATAGAATGTGCAGTCTGCTGTATGTTTCTACTTTTAAGCTAAAAGTGTTTCTCTTGCCCTTTTCTCCTCTGCTGTTCCTTGATCTTTTCCATTTCTTATATAACCCTTCCTACTCATTGTCCTTCTTTGCCACATTCTCATTATCTCCCCGTCTTTTGGTTTCATTGTTCTGCCTAGAACATGTGGAGACATATTTTTAGGGGAAACAAACAAACCAAAAATCCCCCCAAATTTTCCCTTGACTCTATTGTGCCCATAGGCTTTTTATTTTTTTCACTTTTTCAATTTTTTTTATGTCCAGGTTAGAGTTAAAAATAACTTGACACATGATGAACCAGGAAATGTGATTCATTTTGAAATGGAGAGGAAATCAAGGAAGACCAATGTTAGAAAAAGCAGACAAGGATTTTTAAAGTAGGTATTATAACTGTGCTTACACTCAGAGATATAAAAATGATATGTATGCTCACATATTATTTCAGGAATCTCAGCAAAGAAATGCAAACTATAAAAATATGAAAAAGGTAGATAGGTGTAAGAACAGAATGGAGATGGCAGAAAACACAGTGACCTTGAATACAAATGAATAGGAAATATCCAATTTATAGACATGTAATTAAAATATATTGAAAATATTTCAACAGAGTCTATACTTGAGGAACAAGAGTTAAATGCCTAACATACCTGTGATTGGAATCTCAGAGGGAAAGTAGTGGGGGAAACAGGCATGAAACTATTGAAAAAATAATGACTGATGATTTCTTTAACTGGTTAAAGGCAAATTCAGAGATGAAAGAAGTTCAGTAAACCACCCCCTCCAATAATTTCAAAGAAAACTACACCTTGGCAAGCCATAGTCAAGTTGCTGAACACTCCAGATTAAAAGAAAATCTTGAATGCAGCCAGAGAAAAATGACACATTACATACTGGGGAGCATGATTCAGATTTCCATTTACTTCTCCTATCAGAAACACTGGAGGCCCATATATAAAGTGGTGGGAAGAATCTGCAAGTTTCTATAAGGATAAAGCAGGTAATGGAAATGAATGAAGTAGCTGGGGAAGAAGTGCATATACAAATAGTGCATGAATGGCAAGAGTTTGTTCCTAATGGGAAGCTGCAATTTAACTTCAGTTGATTGTTCTCTTATTGGAAATCAGGACAGCTAATGTCATATGTCTATTTCCTAAGAGAGAAGAATAATCTACATTTGAATGTGAAATTTCATGACTTTTAGATATTGGCTCAAAAACTATTTAAATTAGTGTGTGATCAATACAATGCCTATGGGTTGAATAAAACTTCAGATCACTAATTTGTGATTTCTGCTCATGCATCATGCAGCATCAGAAGGAAAACAAAAAAACAAAAATCAACCTTTTTAAGGTTTTAAGAATAGACAATGTATTATTTACTATTTGCCATACAAAGTGAGATTAATTTGGAATATAATTACATCTGCAAAAGCCAGAGGTAACCACTTTTCAAGTTAAATATGTTTATAATCTATACAATATTTTTTAAATTAAGAAATTAGTAGGAGACTTATGGTGCTATTAATGTTATCAGTATTACTAGAGATTAAACATTGGTGGAATATATAAATTATCTGGTATTTCTCTTTCATAGATCTTACAGAGGAAACTCCTACTGAGGTTTACACTTAATTTCTATGATGCCTAAAGATGGATTTCCTCTGTATGAATGTGACTTCTTTAATGCTTTCTCCTCCAACATACCTTAAGTTAAGTGTTGTCATGATGTCTTATTCTTTAGACTCACTAAATTAGGACCATGCCCAGATAATTTATTTACTTAGTCCATAGTAGTGCTAGCTTACTAGAGTACAGTTTTCTTTCTTTCCTTCCTTCCTTCTTTCTCTCTCTGGCTTTTTTATTTGTTTGTTTGTTACTTGGAAATTGCACATGGCTGATTGGCTTATCCAATGTATAGGTACTAAAAGGTACATATTATTTTTGATGCCAAGCCCACAGGTCCCTGAAAAGGCAAAATATTCAGCACAAATTATAGCATAGCTAACAAGAAAATTCAGCCCAACAAAACTTCTAAAAAATATTTTCTAAGTAATATGTTTTTGTCTCACACTGTATCTAAACCTTGAATAGGTTTGGTTTTTTTATGCAATGTAATAAATATTTCCCTAAAATACATGGCCAGCCTGTTGTCTATTTGTTGGAAGTTTCATTTTTACAGCTTGAGGAGTAGACTAGGAAATGATCTTCACAAAATATAAGCTACAAACATGGAACACACATACAATTGTTTTATAAAACCTAAACAGAAAGGGAAATAAATGGTTTAGAAATAGAATGTGCAGTCTGCTGTATGTTTCTACTTTTAAGCTAAAAGTGTTTCTCTTGCCCTTTTCTCCTCTGCTGTTCCTTGATCTTTTCCATTTCTTATATAACCCTTCCTACTCATTGTCCTTCTTTGCCACATTCTCATTATCTCCCCGTCTTTTGGTTTCATTGTTCTGCCTAGAACATGTGGAGACATATTTTTAGGGGAAACAAACAAACCAAAAATCCCCCCAAATTTTCCCTTGACTCTATTGTGCCCATAGGCTTTTTATTTTTTTCACTTTTTCAATTTTTTTTGAAATCATAACACACGAACTACACCTGTTTTATTAGAACACAGTAGAGGAAGAGTGGAACAGTATGCTGCTCTGAAACTGGAGTCCTCGTTCCACAGCTTAGAAGCGGCCGTGAGATACCAGGCAAATTAGTTCATGCAGAAGCCTGTTTTCTCTCCTATGCAGTAGAGATACTCCTCCTCACTTACTGATATTTGAGAAGAAAACAAGGAAATGCATCCATGATTCACTTAATTCTCACAGTATGTGAGGTAGAACTTATTGTGTTCTTAATCTCTGACATCTCAATGGGTTGTTTGTTTAAAGTTTATACAATAAATATATACTCCTAATATTCAACATAAAAGAGAAGCATTAATTTACTCACTAAAGTGATCTTAAAATTACACTTTTAGCAGGCTGTGGTATTCTGAGAAGTTGCCTGGGGCTAAGAAAAAGGGGAAGATAGCAAGCAGGACTTACCGCTCCAACCAGCTTCAACAAAACAATTCTGATTTTGTCTGTTATATAATATATATATGGAAGGGGACAAAAATAAGAGCCTAAAAAAGAGGTAGAAATCCCAAGGTCTACTAAAAAAAATCTATTACTAAAAGCTTTGTCTTCTTCTCTCTCTTAGGTTTCATTTTTGGAGAGGTGGCAGCACCTGTGTTAATTTGCAGTTTCCATAAAGCATATTCATCACATTGGTTATATCATCTTCAATGGTTTATTAAGAATGCTTCTGAGCCCACAAACATAATGGAAATTTAGGAAAAACAGCCTACTATACCTAGAAACATAGTTTAAACTATTACCTGCAAAACCCAACAAATATTAAAAAGAATGCAATTTTGAGATCATTTTTAATAATAGTATGATTACCAATGTGATTTCAGAGCTGTGTAATGGAATAGTACAAGTGTTAGCTGAAGTAAATATGACTTTTATTCCAAAGTGAAGTCACTTTGCAAGAAGGTATTTACATACCGCATCATCTGGATTATATTGAATAACATATTCTATCTGTCCATTTGGGCCGTCATCTATGTCTGTAGCTCCATTGTCTCCTGAAAATCCTGTAAATACTGTGGTACCAACTGGAGTGAGCTGAAAAGAAAAGAAAAATGATCAGTTCTCATTTTATCAGCAACACATCAGAATGGTTCCAGCATCAGAAATAGCCCTTTACTACACAAAGAGGGAGAGTAGGCAGCTGCTCACAACCACAGACCTGAAATGTTTCAAAAGAACACTTTGCCAACCTTACACAGGAGTTCTTATAAAGGTTGACATTTCCAACATCATAATCCTCAATTTGGGTAAAGAAATAGAAGGCCCTAATTCAGTGTGAAGCACATTTGGACCAATTTATGTCCATTAGCATCTTAGCTTCTGTGGAGAAAATACATCTAGTGTTCTTCCTTAAAAAAACAAACGAACAGACCTTAATGCATTGAGCTATCTACAAGCAGAATTTAAACTATATGAGGAACTTAGTTTCTTTATTTTGAAATCAAACACCATTTCAGAGAGATCAATGAAATACAGGTTGGTAACTATGCAAGTGGAAGTTTGAAGAAGAGAAATTGGAGGCCATGGATGCCGTTCCTGTCAGAGGAGAAAGAAAGCTAGGGGTTTCTTCTGAGTTTGTAATGTTAGTTTAATAGAAAGCCATCATGTGACAAGAGTTGGTGAGATGGTGATATCTTTCATTTCAAATTAAAATAACAACAAAGCTAACATGGCAAAAAGATCATCGTTTGACATTTGGCCTATGTGTCTAGCTTTATTTCTCATAGCTGTCCACCCATCACTGTTAATTTCTCTTACCTGTAGGTCTTTGCATAATGTTTTCCTACACCTAGAGCCTCCAGTCCTCAAGCTTTAGCTGGAATCCTACTCATTAGTTACATTTCAACTTTATCAGCTATCACCTGCCCCTAGCCATCTCCTAAACCATTCCCTAATCTAGCGCTCTCTGCCCCACCTAATAATATGGGGCCCTTTTTGTTCTCCACTCCCTTAGTCACTGACTGCAATGTCACAATGAATCAGTGAATTTTGTCAATGAGAATAAGTCCTGTGCCTCTATAGAACAGAGGCTTTTTCATTTTGTTCTGAGATATATTTTGTTAATTTTTCAATGGGTTTCCTTCATGGAGAAACAGTGCCAGAGAGAAAAAAAAAGAGTTGTCTCATTTATTTCCATTTTCATTGGCTACAAAATCCACAGGGATCCATGAAGTAACGCAAATGAGTGAAGCAAGCCTGATGCGCTTGGGGACGAACTGGGGAGCACATGCTGTCTCTAAAGTGGCAGTTGCTGCTCGGTCCCAGCAAATTCTTGCCATAATAGAATATGGAGCCAATGTTATTAGGTCTTGTAATACTCTAATTTTAAAAGAAATCTCTTGGTTCTAAAGTTGGCAACAGATTTTAAGGAATTAAACTATGAATTTAATGTCCAAACAAAATAACATCCATTGGCCTAGTAACCTTAGTAGTTTGCAACCTTTGATTTAGAAAAAGAATACAATTATGATTACAGAATTAAACCGTAAGTACAAAGTAGTGGGCATTCATAAAGTCAGGCCCCCTGGAAGGCAGCTTTAAAAGGCAAACTGACTTTCTGTAGCTCCAAGAGAACTGAGAATGAAATGACAGAAACATTCTTTTGTAGCTCTACTGTTTTAAGATATGAAATTTTTAAATTAAATGGCAATGATTTGTTTCCAGATATCTAATAAAACCAACTTAGAGCATTTAATCAAAGCTCTTTTTCCTTAATCAGAGAAAAAAAAAACTGTGTCATGGATTGATTTTAAAAATAAAATGAAGTAAAACAAACAAAAGAAAAAAAGTTAACCAGTAAGGGTCTGGAAATTTGGAAAATTGTGTCTCTTTCAGTCCAACTCACTGACACAGCATGCCCTACTGGATTAGATTCATTGCAGAGCAAGATCCTGAGGTACTATAGCTAAGAGCAATAACATTAGTATTAAAGCGGAGGAATCTGAGATCCAGGGGAGCTCGGATTATAGGCCAGAACGTTGAAGATCCTGAGATCAATGAGTAAAAAGTGAGGGGAAAGGATGCTAGAAACAACAATTTTCTCTACTTAATCAATTCTGCTACCCTACTTAATATGTACCTAAAAAGACAGTTTTTATAACATTGACTTTTTTTATATCAACTCAGTATCCTAAAAACAATATTTTTATTTTTTAACATTTTTTTTAATTAAGAGAAAGAAAGGTTTCAACAGAACACCCCTACATCACCTATACATTATAAAACTTTGAGACTTAAAGTCTGTGATTACATATCATTTATTAGAGAGCAAAACAAACAAAAGAAAAACCTTATGAACCTCTCATCTAATAATATGGCAATTTAACACTCAACTGCATTTTTACTGTACAATGACATTATTTTCTTTTGCAGATGTTAAATTATATAAAGAGGGGTTGACAGTTTTCTGCATGCTGGTTTAATAATATAAATGCAATTTTACTAGATGTAAAGTTTCAGGTATTATCTATATACTCAGAAACAGAAAGAACTAATCTGGCATTTGAGTCTCAGAATCCAAGAAGTAAATGAAATCTCCCTGGTGGTTTAACCCATAGAATGGCAAGTGTTACAGGAAAAGCTATATTTCTCCTTTTTAGTCAAGGAGAAAATGAAGCATAATGTTCTTTAAATCCTAACACTTTCTAATTTTCCCAGTCTTATTCAAGGTTAAGTTTCTAGAAATAAATATTACATGATCATATTTGGTTGGGATAGATTATCTGAAGGATTTTACTTCCTACAATGAGATATTTGCAAATTCAAAGACCCTAGCTGTGAAAAAGATCTATATTTTTCTTCAGCTACATAAATGCTTTGAAACTCATAAAAGGCAACAGAAAAATATTATGGTGCCTTAATATATTATCATTGATAAGTGTTTTTCTTCTTTGTCACTGACACACCTCTTTCACCACTTAAAAAAAATCACATTTATAAATAGGTGATAATTGTTAGTATCTAATCATTTAAAATAAACACTACATTGTATTTCTTTGGTTACCCTAAAAAAATACACTGGGTGATAAAGTCTACTAAAGGTTATTACCAAACTACTTGAAAAAGGGTTTACTATGTATTGTGTATGATAGAAATGTAAGGTTAATCCAAAAAGTAATTCAATTTCAATCATTTTAATTTTATGATTTGAGTTTATTTTGGGGTGCCACACATGATTCTCCCAAGTAACATTTATGTGTCTACATATTTGTTTATTAGTCCTTGAGATTACAGATAAAAATATGATCCTATAATAAATTCTGTTAGTTTCTATCTTTGAATGGAAAATAAAAGAAAAACAATTGCTTAGATGTGGAAATAGAGAATAAAGCTTATTATTTCTGTAATGATATCATATAAAGGTTACGAAATTTAATCTTTCCTTTAAAGAAGATTTTAGGTCCTTGAACATTAATGGTAAACATTAGTATATCAGTAGTAGATTTCAGCATCCTATATTTCATTCATGGTGCTGTCTCTGTTCACAATTTGAGTAAAAATTAAAGATTTTTCTACGAACTTTGGAAATGTGATATTTAGTTGTTGACAGTAAAGGACTCAGGTAGTACACCAAGTTATTAGCTCAGCATTTGTATAAACTAGTAAATTTTGCTCTCCTCTATAGTTGTACGTTGAAGCCAAAATCTTGACATAAATTGTTCCTACTCATTTCCACTACTAGAAAAAGCAAATACACACACACACACACGTAAAATGTAATCCTAAGACAGATCAGTAATTGAATTAAACACATTTATCCATGATCTACAATTCAGATGGTTGACCTATTCAGAGATAGGATAGGTTTTGGAATGTTTGAAGCTAATATAAGAGAAATAGCTAAGGAAAAGAAGATAAGGTGTTTTGTGCTAATATGGAAGGTCTGGTGAGACTAAAAAGGCTTCATTGAAATACCTTATATTAGATGCAAATAAGCAAAAGATAGTGGAAGCATACAAAACGGTTTTAAATATAGTGGATTGCAGACTCCTATTTCATTAATTTTATATATACTTACTTATATATACACATATTTCCAATGGAAATTTGTACATATCTACAGACAGAAAAACTACATAAATAAAAATATGCACATATCACCATTATTTATACTCATTATAGGTGACATGGTACATTGGTGCTTTCTGAATTTCTGAATATTATGTGGGGATTGAAACTCTTCACATGATAGTCAGGTTGTTTATCATAATCTGCCTTGCCCTATACATTATTATTCAGTTTTCAGGGCACATCTGCCATGCAGATGGTCATGTTCTCTGTCTTATAACATTTAAACAAGTCTCAGACATATTAATTTGGTTTTCTGAAAGATATGCTAAGCATGGAATGACTTCCAGCTTGGACAGCTGCTTGATGGTGTCACTTACTTATTTAGTTCACGGCTTTTTCCACAAATGATTTTACACTGGATAAAAAGGTAAAGGAATAGATAAATGCAAATATAAAACTAAGTGAAAATCACAGCAAGGAAACTCAATGTTTAGAGAAGCTGCATAAGAGAAATCAGAATGTGAATATAAAAGGTGAACAGTTCTCCATTAACTGTATATCTTGTGTGCCATAGTTAATTAGGCCAACCTAAAAATTATGAACAACGCTCCATAAAAAAGAACATTTGTCCTCATCAATTTTACTTGCAATATTTCCCCACATAAGCTTTGTTTTCATGGTTTCATATAAATACAGTTGATTCTCATTTATGTATGGTAATTATGTTCTATTAAGTCTCCATGAACACATGAACACTGGGCCATTTATCCAAGGGGTCACAGGGTTATTACATTGCTACAGAGAATATAGGGAGTAGGTTTCTGCAAGCCTCTGGTTACAACGTTTTCATCAACCAATCAATATGTGATGTTGTTTTATATGTGTTTCTGTTTCAAGACACCTTATTTAATATATATTTTGATTCATTAACACTTAACTTACAGCCAATAGCACTATCACTCTTGCCTGTATGAAGCTTATCTAACACATTTATTCTCTCCGTAAGGTACATCATTATCTTCTCG